TCTTTCTTTCTTTCTTTTAGACCGTTCCTCTTTTCCGTAGTTCTTTCTTTCTTTTTTCTTTCTTTCTTTCTTTCTTTCTTTTGAGCCTTTTTTTTGCGTAGTTCTTTCTTTCTTTTTTTTCTTTTCTTTTTTTTAGACCGTTTTTTTTGCGTAGTTCTTTCTTTCTTTTCTTTCTTTCTTTCTTTTTTAGACCTTTTTTCGTAGTTTTTTTCTTTTCTTTCTTTAGTTCTTTTTCTTTCTTTTTAGACCGTTTTCTTTTCCGTTTCTTTCTTTCTTTCTTTCTTTCTTATTGAGCGTTTTTTTGCGTAGTTCTTTCTTTCTTTTTCTTTCTTTCTTTCTTTCTTTCTTTCTTTTAGACCGTTCCTCTTTTCCGTAGTTCTTTCTTTCTTTCTTTCTTTCTTTCTTTCTTTCTTTCTTTTAGACCGTTCCTCTTTTCCGTAGTTCTTTCTTTCTTTCTTTCTTTCTTTCTTTCTTTCTTATTGAGCCTTTTTTTGCGTAGTTCTTTCTTTCTTTCTTTCTTTCTTTCTTTCTTTCTTTTAGACCGTTCCTCTTTTCCGTAGTTCGTTCTTTCTTTTTCTTTTTCTTTCTTTCTTTCTTTCTTATTGAGCCTTTTTTTGCGTAGTTCTTTCTTTCTTTCTTTCTTTCTTCTGGAGCCTTACTCTTTTCCGTAGTTCTTTTTTTTTTCTTTCTTTCTTTTTTTTCTTTCTTTCTTTCTTATTGAGCGTTTTTGCGTAGTGCTTTCTTTCTTTCTTTCTTTCTCTCTTTCTTCTTTCTTCCTTTCTTTCTTTCAAACACTTTTTCTGCTGTTCCTTTTTCTATTTTATTGAGTTTTTCTTTCTTTCAAACATACCTATTTCCTTTTTATCCACGACCATTGCAGTTGTTGGTAGTCATCCAGTTATATGGTTTCTCCTATTTGATACAGTTGATTGATTGTGAATATGTAGCGCCAGTCCACAAGGTTCAACGCAAGATGATCTTTGCCAAGACCCTCTGACTTCCCTTGCCCAACCCCCTTTTTTTTTACAATAGATCTTAGGAAGTGCTCGTATACAACTTACAGTATTTCAAAACGGGTTTGGCGCAAATTCATTGCATCTATATAAAAGTTTTGATCTGACGGGTCTATTTATGAATATGACGAGTTTTCAGGTTGATGTTTTCGCTTTGTAGCAATCTGCGGTATTGGGCGAAACTTCATATGGGCCGTGTTCTTTCAGGACGGAGGCGATCATGGCCCTCTACTTCCCCTTATCCCTTGTGGCTCTCAAAAGGTTTTGTGTTTCTACCAACTCCCCCAGACTACGCTCCGCCATCCATCTGTCCAAGCCCGCCTGCTTTCCCCTGTCTCTTTCCCCCCTCTATTCGTCCCGTGAGTATCAGATTCTCCAGGTCCTCTTTTCTCATCACGTGTCACAGAAATTTTATCTGCCTCTTCCGTATGTTAAGCATAAGCTTCCTCCTTGTTTACATCCTTGTTTGTCGCTCACACGCTTGCTTCATGATATCCTCAGCATCCTTCTGTAGAACCACATCTCCACCGCCTCGAGTCTTTTCTTCATCCTTGACGATACCGTCCATAATTCGCTATCGTATAGGAGGACAGATGTCACGTAGCCTTCAGTACTCTTTTCTTTATCACCATAGAAATACTCCTGTTTCGCACTCCTCTGATTGCTCTTGGCCAAGGCTTTTTTTTACCATCGACCTTAGGAAGTGCGTGTATACAACTTACAGTTTAGATATTTCTAAACGAATTTGTCGCAGATTCATTACATCTATATAAAAGTTTTCATCTGACAAGGCTATTTATGAATACGACGCGAGTATTCACGTTGATGTTTTCGTTTTGTATCAATTCGTGGTGTTGGGCTAAAAACAGTTGCTTTGCAGTAGCGTGATCTTTAACAAGCTCGCTTAGTACCCGTCTTTGCTAGCGTCCTGAGTAAAACGATAAACTAAGTCCAGCAGCAAGGCCTCTGATCAGGAGGTTTTGAGGAGTGTGAAACCATCTCTTAATTGCTGGTGTTCCCAGCTCCACCCTGACTCTTGGTGGTAGCACCTGTTAGGGTCCCAGCTATGGGCAAATAGTTAACTATTTACCAGCAATACTTTTTGAAAACAATATTATCAGCAATACAATTTTGAAGTGTGACACTATTTAGGGTTGCGTGAAAAAAAACGGCGAAAATTAAATTAGGTGTTAAGAAGCTATCACGAAAAGACACTGAGCGATGTTATTTTTTCTAACAAAGAAAAGTGGTAAAGATTTTATTTTCATTAGCGAAGAAAGTAAGATACCGGATTTAATTTGATTTATGTTACGACGCGGCGAAAGAAGATAGCAATCTGCCCATGGCAATAATGAAAATTTCAAGTTGGTCAAGTGGCCTACAAGGCAGAATGCTAAGAGATAAAAATTAATTGGGTCGCGCTCTGACCGAAAAAAATGTCTGCTGGACCACCCACAGAGTACAAAGAAGGAAAGATTAAATCATTAACTATCTGTGGAGATATCATATTGAGAAGAGCACCTGTTTTGTATCAGAGCTGGCCATGATAGAAAAAATTATTTTATCGGAACGGATAATCGGCGACAGGGTGCGGAAGATCATTGACCAGCCTCAGTGCTTGTTTGGCGAAGGTCTCGTTGACGAGTTCCAGACGGCGTTCGGTTAAGATAAGAGTCGTAAGGGTTTGTTGTCGGGAAGAAGAAAAGAAAGAAAAGAAAAAAAAAGGGAAGATAATTTTTTTCTCCTTTGAGCGATAATTGCAAACACCCACGCTGCTGAGCGTTCATTGGCTGAAGGGTGGCGTGAGCGGTAGGCGAAGGTAAACTATGAAGAAGGAGGGGAGGCCTGTTGACGCCCCCTGAAGGGATTGATGTGAGATGCCACTGTGAGAGAGAGGGGAACCTGTTGACGCCCTCTGAGGGGATTGGTGTGAGATACCAATATGAGAAAGGAAGAATTTGGGAGGACGATTCCCTTAAACTAGAAATTAAGGACTTCCAAAAATGGAAAGTAATAAATTTTCCTGACCGAAAACAAAGAAAATTCTTAATGCGGATTTAGAATTATCAAGGAACCTCAAACCCCGACAGGCCCACCCCGGTTTTGGTCGGCGCCCATATAAGCAGAATCGCAGAGAGTAGACGACAGACAGGCAAGAGTTGGGGTTGAAGAGACAGGCCAGGGGTTGAGTCAGAGACAGGCAAGAGTTGAGCTGTGGACTCTGAGACCCGCCTCGCAAAAAGCTGATTTAAGATCCACGCATTCTCGACCTCAACTTCTAACCAAGAACATTTTATTTTGAAGAACGACTTAGACTCATACCACCAAAACAAGTTTTACGAATATCGCCTGAAGATGCACCAAAAACCAGTTTCTTAAAGAAAAACAACTTAAGATGTTAAAACTCGCCTAACAAACACAAAGTGTCACGAATTCATATTAGCGTTTTGGGAGAAAGACGCAGTCCTGTATTCAGAAACCAGATATAAAATATTGTTATTCTTTTTTAACACATTTGAACTTTTCGAGTTGTTACTTTATTTTCTTTTACATATACTTGTGCAGTATTACCCTTGTTCGGACTCGACTTGCATTACGGCCCGGCGACTGATTGATTTCGTCTACCTAAGATCAAATCACAACGTGGGTAGGTTAGACTAGAAATCAAAACAGTTATTTCGGTAACCAGACGTTGGAGGCGAGCTGGGAACGACAAGGCTGATACCGAATATAACCAGATTCCCATCCGAATCAGCAAAAGGTTAGAACGTCACATTTGGTGCCGCGACCAATACCAAGTCACATTGGTCGTCACAGGATAGGACGGTATCGGGGCAGACAGACTGGGTAACGTCACAGAAGGAAAAATATTACCAGAAACAGATTTCTGACAAAACAAAATATTACCAGCAATAAAAAATTTTGTCGGCATAAAATAACCCATTAAGGTTGATATGCCTTAAAACAAAATAAACCAAACCAATCTAAATCAAAGAATACATACTCTTTTCATACGAATCTATACTAAAAATGTTGTCGGCATTAAATAACCCATTGATATGCCGTAAAATAAAATCTAAACCAAAGAATACATATTGCATTCATACGAATCTATCCTAAAATGTTGTCGGCATTAAATAACCCATTGAGGTTGATATGCCGTAAAACAAAATAAACCAAACCAATCCAAACCAAAGAATACATATTCTATTCATACGAATATATCCAAAAAATGTTGTCGGCATTAAATAACCCATTGAGGTTGATATGCCGTTAAACAAAACAAACCAAACCAATCAAAACCAAAGAATACATATTCTATTCATACGAATCTATCCTAAAAATGTTGTCGGCATTAAATAACCCATCTTGCTAAGTGCCGTGATACTGATCCTCACTGTGTGCCTTGCGATGGAATAAGTTAATAATAATAAATAATAATAAACATAGGGATTAGGTCATAGGCAAAGATAAAAACAAATACATGACGTCATTCCAAAACGTAAGGGATGAGATGCTTTGGTCCAGTGCTTCGTATGTTGTTCCCGGCTCTCATAAATCCTGACTCCGTATCTGTGGTCGATCGATCGGGGTTCAACCGAGGACAGGCGATTGTCCCAACATCTGTCGACTAAAGGACACAAGAACCAGTTTCGTATTGAAACGGACGGTGTTGAAAAGGATTGTAAGGATTGTCTATTTTGGGTAAAGGACGGCGCACATCTTTCGCATAAAGAAGGAAAAAAACAAATACAAAAGCAAATACTGGGTAAAAATAGCGGGAGGGAAATAAAAAAAAAATGTTGCAAAGGAAGAAAAAAGACAGAAAAATGAAAATAGGAATGAAAAAAGAAGAGGAAAGAAAAAAGAAAGAAAGAAAGAAAAGGCGAAAGAAAGGAAAATATTAGGTTGATGCAAAAATAATGTCGTTTTTTGACGTTCAACTTAACGTCAAAAACGACGTTATTTTTGCACCAACCTAATAGGTTATCGTAACAAAATGAATGAAAGAAATGTACTATCATAACAAAATGAAGGAAAATAAAAAAAGAAAGAAAGAAGGAAAAAGAAAGAGATACAAAGAAAGACGAGAGGAAGGTGGAAGGAAGGAAACAATAAAATGAATAATGAAAGAAAGACAAATAGCTTATCGTAATAAAATGAATGAGAAAAGGCAAAAAAAGAAAGAAAGGAATAGGGTATAAATAGAACGAATGAGAAGAAAAACAAAAAGAAAGAAAGAAAGGAAAGCAAAAAATGTGTCATAAGAAAATGAATGAGAAAAAAAAAGAAAGAAAGAAGGGGGAAGGAAAAAGAAAGAAAGAATAAAAAAAGAAAGAAATAGAATATCATAAAATAATGAGAATAAAAAGAACAAAGGGAATGAGAATAAAAAGAAAGAAAGACGTAACGAAGGAAAAAGACAGAAAGAAAGAAAGAAAGAAAGAAAGAAAGAAAGAAAGAAAGACAGACAGTTAAAGGAAGCGAGATGAAAGAAAGTAAAACACTTAGGAAAGAGTGAGAAAAGAGAATGGAGAATTAGAGACGAAAAGAAATAAGAAGTTCGAAATAAGCAGTAAGAAAGAAAGAAAGCAAGAAAGAAAGAAAGAAAGAAAGTGAGAGAGTATCATTACAAAATAAATGAGAAGAAAAAAAGAAGGTAGGAATGAGAAGGAGGAAATAAATAGAGTAACAATAAAATGAATGCGACGAAAAAGGAGGAAAGGTAAAAAGAAAGAAAAATGAATTTAAAAGAAACTAAAATAAGGCATCATAATAAAATAAAAGAAAAAAGGTATGAAATAAAAAATAAGGAAAGATGAAAAATAAAATAAAAAGGAAATCAAACAAAAAATAAAGAAAAGATTAAGAGAGATGAAAGAAAGAAAAAAAAAGAAAATCGAAAGTAAAAGTGAAATGAAAAAAAAAACATATTTTCCTATTTCTTAATCGTTTGCTTAGCTTTTCACAAGCATCTTTTACTATTTTGATGAAACTTTTACATATATTCTCTTACTTGGTTTTAGCTTAATAAAATTTTTATCTGATTAGGCGAATCATGTATAAGGGAAACATCGATTCCCTACATGGGAAGATCTTGCTAGACGCAGGAAAACTTGTGATGCTCTAAAAAAATTAAAATATGGGGAAAATACCAATACTTATCAGGGGGTTAAATGCTTAGGATGGTATTTAAGGAGTTAATTAATCGGTGTAATCCTTCATGGGTAAAATACTCGAGATAATCTTTAAGGGGTTTATTATCATGTTTAATCCACTGAAAGATTAAATCCTCAGATTAAATTTTAAAGGATGAAGTATCTAGGATAATCCAATTTAGGCTTATATAGTACGGATATTTTAAAGTGCCAAATACTCGGGATAATCTGTTATAAGGTTAAATACTGCGGATAATTTTAAGGGGTTAAATTCTAGCTTTAATCCGTTATAGATTTAAATATTACTGATCCTGTTTAAGGAGTTAAATGGTCGGAATAATCCATTATAGACACTACAGATAATTTTTAGGTATTCAAAAAACAGTGATAATCTTTTAAGCGGGTAAATACTCAGGATAATCCATTAAGGAGTAAAATACTCGGTATTATCCTGTTAGGATAAATTTAAATACGAGGTCACTAAAGAAGACTTTGAATACATAAAAATTTTTTAAGGATTCTTAAATATTCAGGATAATCTATTAGGGCGTTACATATTCAGAATAATCCATTAAGAGATTAAATAATCTGGTTTTACTGTTAAAGGAGTTCAAATGACTTGGGTATTCAATTAATAGGTTGAATACACATGCTAATCCATTAACGGATTAAATATTCAAGATAACTCGGAGTAATCGTTTAAATAATTGGGTTAATCCATTATCTGGTCAAATACCCAAGAAAAAGCATTCAGGGGATTAAATAAACGTGATAATCTGTTAAGGGGATTAACGAAGGTTGCTCACCATCATTTACTCTTGTCCCAATATTAAGCCTACTCAGGTCAATAAGCTCAAATTGGCATCCGATCTACAAAAAGCGCTAAGGTCCGTTGTTAACTGGGGCAAGGGATGACTTGATAATATTAATGCCTCCAAGATGAAACTTGTCTCTGTTAATCACCTGAAAGATCTCGTTCTGCTTCTCATTTTCCGAATTCAAGGAGAGATGACGTGTCCACCGAAGATTCGGTATGCCTTAAATCATATTAGGTTGGTGCAAAAATAATGACGCAATAATGTCGTTTTTTGACCTTAAAAAATACGTCAAAAACGACATTATTACGTCATTATTTTTGCACCAACCTAATACTAATGTGGTTTTTAAAAAAGGGCGAATGCAAGTGAAACCTGATTAATCAATGTAAAAGTAAAAATAACCGAATTTTTTTTCTACTTTTTCTCCATACCTCATTCTCTGACGAAGCTTTAATAAAAGTTAAAGATATTAGATTGATACACATTTTCTATTTGTTCTTTATTTTATCA